CAGTTTGCGCCTCAGTTGACCATGCAAAGGGAACTCCTTTCTTTGTCAGCTGTGTAATTGGTGCTATTACTTTAGAGAAGTTTCTTATGAATGTCCTATAAAAGTTGGCAAATCCAATAAATCGTTGTATTTCCTTAACGTTTCCAGGGCAGTCCAATCCACCACTGCCTTGATCTTTTTGGGATCCATGCTCACTCCTTCTGAAGAAATGATATATCCCAAGAACTGGATGTGGGTTTGTTCAAACTCACACTTCTCCAGTTTGATGTAAAGTCAGTTCATCCTTAACCTTTTGAATACCGTGCAGACATGCTTGCGATGCTCCTCCAGGTTGTCCGAAAAGATGAAAATATCGTCCAGATAAGCAATAACAAACTGGTCCAACAGATCTCAAAAAACATCATTGATGAAGTGCTGAAAAGTCGCAGGAGCATTACACAGGCCAAAAGGCATAACTAGGGACTCGAAGTGTCCATATCTGGTTGTAAAGGCAGTTTTCCATTTGTCTCCTTGATGCATGCGTACCAGGTTATATGCCCCCCCATAAGTCAAGTTTTTGTGAAGACCTTGGCAGAGCGGAGTCTTTCCAACATTTCTGCGATTAAAGGGAGTGGATAACGGTTTTTAACAGTGATTTTATTCAAGCCCCTAAAATCAATGCATGGACGCAAAGTGGAGTCCTTTTTCTCAACAAACAGGGCTGCCCCTGCAGGAGATGTTGAGAGTCTGATAAAGCCCTTTTCCAAATTCTCATCAATCCACTCCCTTAGCACCTTTAATTCAGGTTCCAATAAATTGAAAATGCGGCTGAATGGTATTTCTGCTCCTGGAAGCAGTTCAATGGGACAATCGTATGGACGATGAGGAGGTAATTGATCCGCATTTTTTTTTATCACAGACGTCTCGAAACTCATGGTATTGTGGAGGCAGGTTGTCATATGACTGTGTAGTTACCATATCAGCCTGTGATTCCCTGATTGGTAGACAACTTGTAGCATATGGTTTCCTACAATGTTCCTCGCAATGGGGGGGGGGGATGTAATATATTTATGGTCCGTGCTCCACAGTTGATGGAGGGATTATGGGTAGAAAAACCAAGGGATGCCCAGGATGACAGGAAATTTAGGTGATGTAATCAGCTGAAAGCTGATGGTCTCAAAATGGTCAGCCTGAAATTGGAGTAGTAGAGGAATGGTTTCATGAGTAACTGGTCCTGAGGATAAAGGTGAACCATCAACCATTTCCATATCAATAGGGGCAGATTGGTTTCTTCTGAGAATATTATTATTGTGGGCAAACTCTATGTCCATAAAGTTTTCCCTAGCCCCAGAGTCCAGCATAGCAGAACAAGGAATTTCATGGCCCTCAGTGAAAAGTTTTGATAGGGACAACAAAATGAGACTGTTTAGGACCAACTTTATTTTCTTCATGGATCAATGGAGATAGACTGGGTAATTGAATTAATGCTTTCAGGCAGGATAACATCAGTCGCAGCAATTGTTCTTTTGACTTTATTTGGACAATTAACTGCGTAATGCCCAGAGTCCCCACAATATAAAATAAATTCTCCAAACGTCTTCTCTCTTTCTCTTGAGTAGAAATGGATCTTTTAATAGCATCTACCTGCATAGTTCAGGTGTGTTAGAATCTGAAGAAATGTTTAGATCCTTCTGACTGAACTGATTAGGAGAGAAACGCATGCCACCATTACTTCCAAACATTCCCAATCTCTCCTTTCTGTAAGTCTCTGGTCAATCCGAATGCATAATTGGATGAACTCCTCAAGATCATTAGGAGTCTCTACTCTGGCGAGCTCATCCTTCACCTGTTCAGAGAGCCCCTGCCGGAACTGACTGACTCATTTGCGCTGCTGGGTTTCCAGGTGGTATCTGAGATCCATCGTCGAAATTCAGTTGTATACTCCGCAACAGGATGTCTACCTTGCCATAAACTATGCAGCTTTGCTTCAGCGGTAGCACAGCGGTTGGGATCATCAAAAGTCTCAAAACTGTTTAACATTGTATTGTCTTGCTCTATATAAGGAGAAGCCCAAGCTAGGAGCTAGTCAGGAGGTTTATAACAAACAATACCTTCTGTCTCTCAGAATTAAATGCAGCAGGTTGCATCTGGAAATAAATGCGGCATTGGGTTAAGGAAACCCCTGTAGTGACAGCGGTCTCCATTGAACTTGAGTGGCAGAGGCATGCGTGTATTAGCAACATCACGTGAACTTAAGTCCAGCAATCGTCTCTGCATTTGCTATAGCAGCCTCCATGTTTGGGCCAGATTATTCTGTCACGGTATAAGGTCAGGTTCAGAGGCCTATTGCTACAGCAGTTTGTAAGGCTTACCTGAAGCCAGCAGGATGGTACACCAGCGGGTCACTCTGGGAATGATGCAGGCTCACTTAGACCAGGGTCTAAGTATCCACCGGTCTTCACCAGAGCTCCTAATGGTGGAGATGGATTTGGCTGCGTGAAAATACCAGGTCTCAGTCTCAGGATCACCCCACCAGGAGAGGGCAGGCTGGAAACCAAGAGCGGATCAAACAGGGATAAGACGAAAGCGGAGTCAGTCACAAGCAAAAGGTCGGTCACAAACGATATAGACGGTAGCAGTACGGAAGAGCAGGATATTGGCTGGAAGGCACAATAATCTGGCAAGGAGGAAGTGCCTGGACATGGCTTTTATAGGAAGTTCATGGGAGGAGCAAGGAGTTCAAGGTTCAAGACAAACAGGGCCAAGGCAGGATCATCCAAACGATTGTCAAGGGAGCTGTCCAGCACTCCAGGTAGCTCAGTGAGAAGAGTTACTGCCTGACACAGTAGAAGTCCCAGGTTCAAGTCCAGGCCCTGACAATTTGGCTATATATCGAACCTGAAAATAAATTATATCAAGTTTGAAGCTCTTAATATCCATATACTGCTAGCTGCCCTACAAGAAACACAAAATAACTGCTCCTTCCAATGGGTTTCTAATGCCCTCAAATATCTAGGAGTTAGGCTTACCCCTCACTTATCTGACCTTTACCAAATGAACTATAAACCTCTCCTCCAAAAAGTTTCACAAGACTTGTCTAATTGGACTACAAAGCCCCTTTCATGGTTCAGCTGGGCTGCAGCGATCAAAATGACAATCCTGACTAGAATTTATATTACCTCCATACTCTACCTATTGACATACCCCCCAGCTTTTTAAAACAACTACAGTCAACAATACGTTCCTTTATCTGGTCCCATAATAGACCTAGAGTTAATATACAGCTTCTTTCTACACCTAAAAATGCTGGAGGTATAGGCCTTCCTAATTGCTTACAATACTACTACACTTCAATGTTAAGCAGAGTGAATGATTGGAACTGCCATGCAAGATAGCAAGGATTGGGTACATTTAGAAACCCTGAGTACTTCCACTCCATTGAGATTTTTACCCTGGGTTACAGAAAAAAAATATCCACCACAAGTAAAACACCACCCATTGATTGGTCCCACTTTAGCGGTATTTAACAAAGCTTCTAAGATGTTTGGCATTGCCTCCTCTCCGTGCCCATTAACATCTATAATAGAAAATCCAGATTTTACCCTGGGACAAAATTCTGGTCAATGTCACCACTAGGGATTCTGGCCCTCATTGGGTAATTGCACAATGTTTAGAAAGATGTAAATGTAAAGGGTATGAACAATTGAAAGATGAACTAAATACATCCGCCTTTACCTATTGGAGTTATGTCCAGTTGCACACCTATATTCATTCTCAAAGAAGGAAACATTTTTTTGGACCCTTGACTCCCTTTGAACCCACTTGTCTGAAAGGCACAATGACAGAGAAAGTAACATCCCTAATATATAAATGGCTACAGAACTCAGAGGTTAGTACTACCATCAGATTTCGTTCAGAATGGGAGCTAGCTTTAAATACATCTTTCACAGATGAACAGTGGACAAATGTTCAATAGGAACTATATTCCAAGAAACCTCCTATAGGCTCTTGACCAATTGGTATGCAACGCCGAATAAGTTGAGGCATTGGTTTCTATGTCATATGATATGTGCTGGAGATGTGGCCTACACAAAGGTACCATGTTATATATCTGGTGGCAGTACTTCAGCCGTACTGGACTAAAGTTTTTAACACAATTAAAAACTCACAGAGTTCTCTCTAGAACTGACATCAGGCTGTTGTCTGCTCCATGTCAGCCATTGTTCACTTAAGAAATACAAACACTCCCTGATGAGGCATTTACTAAATGCTGCCACATCTGTTATTCCTTGCCATTGGAAATCCATGTATACTCCTAAGATTAAAGAATGGCTTTGCGCTGTTGAAGAAATAAGTGACAAGAAGGAGACTGTAGCAATCTCCAATAATACCTCTATTAAACATCCATACGATGTGGAGGTCTTGGGTTATGTTCTGTCACTTGGACTTTTATGACCGTCTTTACACTGGTTGATTAGACTGATATTCAAAATCCATATTTTTGCTTTTCCAAGATTGAGCTGTTCATAAATCATAAACCACTGTATGGTATATACAGTAACATGGTCATGATCTATTCTGATCTACTCTTTTTTATTCTTTATGTCATCTCTCTTCTCCTCTATATAAAAACAAAATACTCTCCACGACTGAAACACAGCTCTAGTTTCTGTATTGTAGCTCATTGTTTTCTTTAATGATTAGTTGCTGATACATATGTTTATCTCTGCATTTGTTTCATGTACTACTACTTATTTTGTACACTGTTTTTTGATACAAATAAATCTATATTGGATACAGAAAAAAATGTCATATAGGTACAATGTTGCATGACCGCGCAATTGTCATTCAAAGTGCAACAGCACTGAAAGTTGAAAATTGGGCTGGGCAGGAAGGAGGTAAAAGAGCCCGGTAGGCAAGTGGTTAATCTGCTGAATATATGTTGTTATTTCACCCTGTAAAATACTAAGTAGAAAATAATTTCTATAATAAACACACAATGAAACATTTATTTAACTCACATTGCGTGGTCGAATGGGCACCCTTTCACATTCTTCATCCATTCCTGGTATTAACACTGTCATTTTTCTTGGACCTTTAAAACCCAAAACATTTGTTTCCTGCATACAAAAAGCACTGTATTATTCAATGCACATGAAATAGCCATAACTTTGGCTAAATAACTTTGTTATAACAAAATTGAATTGTGTACTCTAAATGCAAATCAGATAAATCTGCAGAAATGTTTGAAACACATTTATTTTAGCTTTATTATTTGTTATTTACCTGTTAATACTACCTTGTTAACTTTTGAACAAATAGTAAATGAGCTTTAAAACAGTCCCTCACTGACCTGTGAAGCTTCAGGCACTGTGGAGTGATTCAAATTCTCAAATTTACCAAAAACACGCTGGTTGTTTGCAGTGTACCTGTTGTTAGTCACTGCTGAAAGAATAACAGAGAACATTCCTACTCTTGGACAATCCTGGCAACCTATAGCCTGAAGCAGGCTACCTAATGACAGATAAGTGCATCGGCTTCGGTTTTCTATTGCAACTGCCTGACATAGCCAACTGAATAACTAGTTTAGCTTACGATTTGTATGTTTTTACGAAATAACAGATTTTTTTAGATGCAGACATGCATATAGCTATAGTTGAGGATAGTATGATGTGATGTTGTATATGCTTTCTTCTCTTTTTGTTCTGAGTTTAATAAAATAAACTATTTGTCAGCATGCATCTGACTCATGAGCATCTGGTCTTCAGCAGCTTCCAACAGCAGTCCTTGGCTAGTTACATAATTGCATATCCAGTTCAACCATTAAAAGAAAAAAAAAAAGTTATAATCCTATACCCACAGTTGGTCCAGAGGAAGGCAAAACAACCTAGCAAAGCATGAGACAATTTGCTCCTACATGGAAAAAAAAATCCTTTCTGATCCCCCGAGAGGCAATCAGATATTCCCTGGATCAACTTTACCTATAAATGTTAGTATCCAGTTATATTCTGTGTATCTAAGAAAGAATCCAGGCCTTTTTTACAGCAATCCACTGAGCTGGCCAGAACCAACTCTTGCGGGAGTCTATTCCACATTTTCACAGCTCTTACTGTGAAGAAACCTTTCCGTGTTTGGAGATTAAATTTCTTTTCCTCCAGATGTAAAGAGTGCCCCCTTGTCCGCTGTGATGACCTCAGGATGAATAGATCTACACAGAGTTTACTATATGAACCACTGATGTATTTATACATGTTGATCATATCTCCCCTTAATCTCCTCTTCTCAAGAGAGAATAAATTCAGTTCCTCTAATCTTTCCTCATAGATGATCTCCTCCATGCCTCTTATCAGTTTGGTTGCCCTTCTCTGTACTTTCTCAAGTTCCCCAATGTTCTTTTTGTGAATTGGTGCCCAAAACTGAACTGCATATTCCAGATGAGGTGTTACTAATGATTTGTACAGGGGTAAAATTATATATCTCTCTCTGGCAATCTGGAAAACTTAAAATTTGTCAATATAGGGTTCTGAGAGTATTTAGGAGTCTTATTTTTTGTTAGGTGCTCAGCCTCAAAGGACTTGTTTAAATTAAGACAGCACAATATACTACATTTGTCCTCCTACAATGATCAAGTCTTGCTTCTTTCAATAACAGCTGGCATTTTAGGTACACATTGGCATGAGATGATCATTATCCATTTGGATGAATTCAGGAACTAGGAAATGTCCTGGTTGAATATTTTTGAATATTTTTGGCTGGCTGTTATCTATTTATTTATTTATTGATTGATTGATTCAGATGGCCATGAGGGTTATTGTTGCATTTGTTATCTTCTTCTTGTAGGGACAGGTATGCCTGTGTGATGCACTTTGATAGATTATAATGGATGTGCCACTGCAAGGCAATGCAGTAACGTGCAATGCGCTGACAAAAAATGTTGCATGCATCATCACCTTTGTGGTATTCCCCAACACATCATTAGCATGTGTGCATTGATGCATCTAGCCCAGTGGTCGGCAAGCCGCGGCTCGCGAGCCACATGCGGCTCTTTACAAACTTAAATGCGGCTCTTCTGTGTGCCGGGCGCCCGCTCCCCTCCCTCCTCTCGGGCGGGCGGGTGGGCGGCCGGCCGGCCGGACCCCCCTCCTCCTCTCCCTTCCCTCCTCTCGGATGGCCGCCCCCCTCCCTCCTCTCGGGCGTCAGACTCTGCAGCTGTCAGGATGTAGGCGGGGCAGCCAGGATGTAGGCGGGGCAGCGTGACGAACTCTTCTCCTCTCACAGTCCTCCCTGAAGACCAGAACGGCGCGGGAATATGAGAGGAACGCGCGGAGCAAAGGTAAGTGAATTGACACAGTGGGGACTTACTATATGGGGAATGAATTACTATATGGAGGACTTACTATATGGGGAATGAATTACTATATGGAGGATTGCTATATGGGGAATATTACTATATGGGGGACTTACTATATGGGAATGAATTACTATATGGAGGACTTACTATATGGGGGACTTACTATATGGGGAATGAATTACTATATGGAGGACTTACTATATGGGGGACTTACTATATGGGGAATGAATTTACTATATGGGGGACTTACTATATGGGGGATGAATTACTATATGGGGACTTACTATATGGGGAATGAATTACTATATGGGGGGACTTACTATATGGGGGATGAATTACTATATGGGGACTTACTATATGGGGGATAAATTACTATATGGGGGACTTACTATATGGGGAATGAATTACTATATGGAGGATCTTACTATATGGGGAATGAATTACTATATGGAGGACTTACTTATGGGGAATGAACTTACTATATGGGGGACTTACTATATGGGGAATGAATTACTATATGGAGACTTACTATATGGGGGACTTACTATTTGGGGAATGAATTACTATATGGAGGACTTACTATATGGGGGACTTACTATATGGGGAATGAATTACTATATGGGGACTTACTATATGGGGAATGAATTACTATATGGAGGACTTACTATATGGGGAATGAAATTACTATATGGGGGACTTACTATATGGGGAATGAATTACTATATGGAGGACTTACTATATGGGGGACTTACTATATGGGGAATGAATTACTATATGGAGGACTTACTATATGGGGGACTTACTATATGGGGAATGAATTTACTATATGGGGGACTTACTATATGGGGGATGAATTACTATATGGGGGACTTACTATATGGGGAATGAATTACTATATGGGGGACTTACTATATGGGGGATGAATTACTATATGGGGACTTACTATATGGGGGATAAATTACTATATGGGGGACTTACTATATGGGGAATGAATTACTATATGGGGGACTTACTATATGGGGGATGAATTACTATATGGGGGACTTACTATATGGGGAATGAATTACTATTGGGGGACTTACTATATGGGGAATGAATTACTATATGGGGGACTTACTATATGGGGGATGAATTACTATGGGGGACTTACTATATGGGGGATTAATTACTATAATTACTATATGGGGGATGAATTACTATGGGGGGGATGAATTACTATGGGGGGGATGAATTACTATATGGGGGATGAATTACTATATGGGGGATGAATTACTATGGGGGATGAATTACTATATGGGGGATGAATTACTATGGGGGATGAATTACTATATGGGAGATGTATTTTCAGTTTTAAAAATGTGGCTCTCAAAATAAATTTCAATCGTGGTTTTGGCGAGATTTGGCTCAGTTGAAAAAAAAGGTTGCCCGCCACTGATCTAGCCTTACCAGGTGCTATTTTGGAGGAGGGCATCTGGAAATAACAGTGGGTAGAATGAAAGGGAATTGCAAGGACTAGTGAAGTGACCATATGGGATGAAACACAAGAATTGATAGCTGTTAAAAAAAAAAAAAAATTACAACAGTAGTTGTATAAGTTAGTAACTGCATAGCAACAGCCACCCCAATGGATTTTTATCATTCCTTTAAGAAACAGGATTTCTAACCAATGAATCTGGCTGTAAATCTCATACATGAAATATATATAAAGCACCTCCTTTTAGGCTACATGCACAGTAGTGTTTTTATAAGCTCAAAAAATCCCCCCCCCAAAAAACAAATCTGGATGAAAAAAGCTTATAATAGAGTTTTTGTGCCTGGCTTGTAGTAGCGTTAGCACTTTATTTGTGTTTTTACAGTACATATATAAAAAAAAAAGCTAGACAAAACGTTGTTAGTAGTGTCTTAGAAGCGTTTAGTGTTGTTTTTCTGCCAGAAAATGCTCCCAAAAACTCTAAAAAAACTATTTTTTTCTGCTCCTAAACACTGAAGCTTGAAAAATGCTACTAGCCTAAAATAGTGTGCATGGACACACAGGATAACACTATTCAGCTTCTAGGAGTATAAAAAAAACAATAGAGTGCATTAAGCCTTAAACTATGTACTGTTCTTTATCCAAAGCACTTTCTCTCTCATCTTCCTTGTGCTCCCAGGTTGTCTTTTGGTTTATTTCTGCTAGTATTTTATTTAATTTTGCTCTTATGAGATATTAGTCAGTGAGAGCACTTACATAAACAACTGCTGCAAGCTCCTGCCGCACATTGGACCAGTCAGAATTGGCTCTTTCTGGGTTTGCACCATTGTCAAACACAGTAAATTTTGTACCCATCAGGTTAGATCTGTGAAGAGAGTGAGGCACAAAAAGGAAACCATTGTCATTTAACACACAATTGCATTCAAACAGTTGTATCATTGCACTTTTGGTTTTATGTTTTGCTTGACTTTTTATAACAATTACCATACTTTGTGAACTTAAAGTATGTACGTCAGATTGGACAGCTTTTGTGACTGGGCAGATACATATTTTAGGAAAGGAAATGTTAACCACTTTCCCGCCGCCCCATAACAATTGTACTGCTACAGGGTGGCTGCATTGTGCAAAATCATACGTAAATATACGTGATTTGCATTTCCAGGTAGGGGGTGCATGTGCTGCCCTACCTGTGCTGCTATTGGCTGCTGAGGATGTCAATCACCGGGTCCCAGATGGCAATTCCTGCCTGGGACTCTGTGATCGTTGGTGAAGCTGAGAAGGGAGAGATCTGTGAGTAAACAACACAGGTCTCTCTCCTGTCAGCATGGACATGCTGCTTTCTATCTCTCTGCACAGCCAAGAGACAGAAAGCAGCATGTCTCTTTAGTAAAACACAAAACGGTACACAGTCTTATCACTCCCTAAAACACACAATTAATCCTTTGATTGCCCCAAATGTTAACCCTTCCTGCCCAGTGTCATTAGTACAGCGTCTGTGCTTTTTATTAGCACTGATCACTGTATTAGTGTCACTGGAGATGTCAGTGGCAGTTAGTTCCCCCCCAGTGTATCAGAATGCCAACTACAGTCCCGCTATAAGTCACTGATCACTGCCATTACTAGTATAAAAACAATGAATATAAATTCCAGTACATATACCACCATTTGTAGACTTTCACGTAAACCAATTAATATACACTTATTGGGGTTGTTTTTTTTAGCAAAGACGTAGCACAATACATTTTGGCCTAAATTTCTGAAGAAATTTTATTGTTTTTAATTTTTTTTTTGTATAGGTTTTATAACAAAAGTAAAAAATATTGTTTTGTTTCCCAAAATTGGCAGTCTTTTTTTCGTTTATAGAGCAAAAAATAAAAAAAAAATACAGAGGTGATCAAATACCACCAAAAGAAAGCTCTATTTGTGGGAAAAAATGACATAGATTTCATTTATGTACAGCATTGCATGACCGCGCAATTGTCAGTTAAAGTAACACAGCACAGTATCGCAAAAAATGGCCTGGTCAGGAAGGGGGGTAAATCCACAGGAGGGCAAATGGTTAAGAAGCTCATCATAATTACCAATCTCCTTCAAATGAAGTGGTACATTCCAGTTTTAAGCAGCCATTGTCAACAGTGAAGCTAAACAGATGCATTAATGCCTCCGAACTATGATGTAGCTTTAAATAGAAGTTGTTTTAAAAGTTAAAACTGAACCTCAGGCAAAACACACATTATTGTGGTTACAGTGTATCTCACTAATAAAAACACAATTGTATTTGTACATGCAACAAGTTCAGACATATTCAGAATGGGAGAAGGGGGCAGCACTAAGGAGAAATAAGGTGTGCTGAAATCAGCATAGAACATTCAAATAGGAAGAAAAAGCAGTATGCTGCTGCTGCTGATTTTTATGTTTGTGTAAGCATTGGCTGTTGGTGTGTGGAGATGAACTAGCAAAATTACAAAAAACATTTTCATGCCAACCTTCCCTTGCTGACTGGTAGAGCTGGGTATATCTCTGTAAAGCTGCTGCCATATATGTATTTTTATTAGCCTTTTGCCTGAATTTCAGCATTGTTTTTTTTAAGGAAATTTTTTTTTTATATTTTGTTTTTAATACTACCTGTATTTTTTTAAGTTTTAGATCATGCAGGTAAGGGTCACAGTCTAGCTGTTGCTGCAAGTGGTAAGGGGAAATTTTCCAATAGGGACACGTTCTGGAGACAACTGCATAAAAGGGTATTTCTGGTTCTAAATATTTCCCTTACTCTATCCAAAACTAAAAACAAAAGTTTGGATGCATATACTTTAGTGTAGCCCTATACTCATTACACTGACTATTAAATCTATTTGCTAGTGAGAGATTTAACTGTTTTTTTGTGCACATAGTTACATAGTTAGTCTGGCTGAAAAAAAGACAAAAGTCATCCAGTTCAACCATAAAAAAAAAAAAAAGTTATAATCCTATACCCACAGCTGATCCAGAGGAAGGTAAAAAAATTTGCTCCTGCTGGGAAAACAAATTCCTTCCTGATCCCCCGAGAGGCAATCGGAGATTCCTTGGACTTTACCTATAAATGTTAGTATCCAGTTATATTCTGTGTATCTAAGAAAGAATCCAGGCCTTTTTAAAGGAATCCACTGAGCTCTACACCGAGTTCACTATATGAACCACTGATGTATTTACACATGTTGATCATATTCCCCCTTAATCTCCTCTTCTCAAGAGAGAATAAATTCAGTTCCTCTAATCTTTCCTCATAGCTGAGCTCCTCCATGCCTCTTATCAGTTTGGTTGCCCTTCTCTGTACTTTCTCCAGTTCCCCAATGTTCTTTTTGTGAATTGGTGCCCAAAACTGAACTGCATATTCCATATGAGGTCTTACTAATGATTTGTACAGGGGTAAAATTATATCAATCTCTCTGGAGTCTATACCTCTTTTAATATAAGAGAGGATTTTGCTCGCTTTAGAAATTGCAGCTTGGCATTGCATGCCATTATTAAGCTTGTGATCTACCAGAACCCCCAGATCCTTCTCCACCATTGTACTCCCCCAGTTGTACTCCCCCTAGTATGTATGATGCATGTATATTCTTAGCCCCCAAGTGCATAATCTTACATTGATCAACATGAGGCAAGTGCCATTTTAATGTGCTGCATGTGAAGGAATTGACACTCGTTTCCCTATGCCAGACTACAGATAACATGCAGAATACCCTTTTTTCTATTTGTCTCTAATAACACTTGTCTCATTTGCCCTTGGCACTACACCCTATGCTCAAAAAAGGTTTGGGTTTTTTTTATTCGTGCATTCAAGCACTTTTGTTCCAAAAGACTGCAATGGGAGTGCCTGTAAAGATGAGTTAAATACATGTCTTTGCACACATTTTTAATGCCTGAGGAACTCCTCTCCTCTTTTAGAACTGCTCTCTTCCCCTTACCCAGCCCAGGGGAAAAAAAATCTTGAAGCTTGATACACATGCAAAAACAATTGAAAAATGTAACACATCTGTTAAACGGCTGATAAAAAAACCTGAATAAATGCTTCAAAATAATCAAGAATATGCTCTGCTTACACTCCGCTCAGGTGAGAATGCAGGCTAAAGTCACACGTCACAATATTTCTGTAGCATCTCTTTTAGATCTACCAATAACTATGTTGTACATGGGCCTACCTGATTACATACAGATTGATTGGATTACTTAAATTGTTACTAAACCCACAACAGTAAAATCAGTCTGTATATGTAGTAAAGCATGCTTGATGCAGTATACTCACTGTGGAACCTAAGGGGTCAATCCTCTGCATTGTATAAAAATGCTGTTTGATCCTGACTTCTCTGATCTTCCCCTTCTTTCAGTGTCCCCCACTTATCTCCTGATAAGACATATCATGTGGAGTCACTCTGCACATGCTCAGTTTGGTGTGTATTGCTAGAGAGGTTTTTTTTTTTTTATTGGGAGGGTGCATGTGATTAGCACAGGGCCAATCAGCATTGTCCAGACAGAGGTCAGGTCTGCATCCTCCTAGAGCAGAAAGAAAACTCCTCCTACAAGCTTTAACCAGTGCTCTGCTGAACACTTATTACAAGACTGCTCTAACTGCTGATGACAAAAGGTATTTAGCAGTTCATATTTACTAAAATAATTGCATTTCCATATTCTGTGTATTGTGGAAGACCAGATACAGTGAAGGAAATAAGTATTTGATCCCCTGCTGATTTTGAATGTTTGCCCACTCACAAAGAAATGATCAGTCTAAAAATTGAATGGTAGGTGTATTATAACACTGAGAGTCAGAATAGCAACAAAAAGTTCAAAAGAAATGCATGTCTAATAAATTATGCACTGATTTTGCATGTTCATGAGGGAAAAAAGTATTTGATCCCCTATGATTCAGCAGGATTGTCTACCAGGTGTCTTTCATACAGGTAACAAGCTGAGATTAGAAGCAATCTATTTATTACTAATGCTGCTAATCTCAATTTGTTACCTGTATAAAAGACACCTGTCCCCAGGAGCAATCAAACAATCAGATTCCAAACTCTCCACCATGGCAAAGACCAAAGGATGTCAAGGACAAGATTGTAGAGCTATACAAGGCTGGACTGGGCTAGCAAACTATCGCCAAGCAGCTTGGTGAGAAGGTGACAACAGTTGGTGCAATCATTCGCAAATGGAAGAAACACAGAACAACGGTCAGTCTCCCTAGGACAGGGTGCAGCATGCAAGATCTCACCTCATGGAGTGTCAACGATCATGAGAACAGTGAGGAATCATCCCAGAACTACACGTGAGGATCTTGTCAATGATCTCCAGGCAGCTGGGACCACAGTCACCAAGAAATCAATTGGTAACACATTACGCCAACAAGGATTGAAATCCTGCAGTGCCTGCAAGGTTCCTCAGCTCAAGAAAGCACATGTCCAGGCCTGTCTGAAGTTTGCCACTGAACATCTGAATGATGCAGAGGAGGACTGGTTGAAAGTGTTGTGGCCAGATGAGACCAAAATTGAGCTCTTTGGCATCAACTCAACTCACCATGTTTGGAAAAGGAGGAATGTTGCCCCCAAGACCACCATCCCAACTGTCAAACATGGTGGTGGAAACATTCTGCTTTGAGGGTGTTTTTCTTCTAAGGGGACAGGACAACTGCAGCACATCAAAGGGACGATGGACGGGACAATGTACCGCCAAATCTTGGGTGAGAACCTTCTTCCCTCAGCCAGGGCTTTGAAAATGGGTTGTGGATGGGTGTTCCAGCATGACATTGATCCAAAACACACGCCCAAGGCAACAAAGGAGTGGCTCAAGAAGAAGCACATTAAGGTCCTGGAGTGGCCTAGTCAGTCTCCAGACATTAATCCGATTGAAAATCTGTGGAGGGAGCTGAAAGTTCGAGTTGCTAAACACCAGCCACCAAACCTTAATGACTTGGAGAGGATCTGCCAAGAGGAGTGGGTCAAATTCCCTCCTGAGATGTATGCAAATCTGGTGGCCAACTACAGAAACCGTCTGACCTCTGTGATTGCCAACAAGGGATTTGCCACCAAGTACTAAGTCATGGTTTGTGAAGGGGATCAAATACTTATTTCCCTCATGAACATGCAAATCAGTGCATAATTTGTTAGACATGCATTTCTTTTGAAATTTTTGTTGCTATTCTGTCTCTCAGTGTTACAATACACCTACCATTCGATTTTTAGACTGATCATTTCTTTGAGTGAGTGGGCAAACATTCAAAATCAGCAGGGAATCAAATACTTATTTCCTTCACTGTATAATAAATGCAGGGTCCTGGGTAGGTAGCTGTAACACTTTAAGTTTAGATCACAGATTTGGTAAATTCAAAGTTGTTGGTACAAAAGTTGTAAAGTCATATTATAACACCACCTTAAGATTTAACGGTTTGTTGTGCTGCACATGAGGTGACTGCCACTTTAGTACATGGGTGCAAAATATGCTGGATTCAAACTAGGTACATATATTGACTATGGGAACAGCACACAGGCACCACCGGCTTTTTTGACAGGCTGGATGAATATTTTGCTGACATATAGGTATGTTTTATGAATGGTCACTCTGTGTGCTATTTTGCTGTCACCATTGCCTTTCTACTTTTCAGTTTTAAAATGATTCTATTATTTTTACAAAGCAACTTCAATTATTAGAGTATAACAAGAAGTACCATTAGCAACCCTTGTGTCTGTTCTAAGTATTAGCGGAGTTGGTGTGCTTCTGTGGGGGTCAAGTAAAGGCATCAATCTATATTTGTAATTGATATGGCTGATTTTTCTCTCAGTCCTTATGTAACATGGATCATGGTAAATTATTTAATAAGGTTCTCAATGATAATAAATATGTATTAAAAATGCACATTATATTTCAGATACTGTATGTACCACATTGACTCTGGAAGAAGACAGTTTGTTGAAATGCATCTTTGACTTCACACGAATAAGCAAGATCTGTGTGTAATTGATGTAATATGCGGAGAGAGTAGTAGTATATTTTTGTAAAAAAGGACAACTGAAACATTGTTTGATCAGCCATGGTATACTGTACTTTCATTTAATATTGGGCCATATTGGGCCAATGTGTGAAGATTCCCAAGTTCCGTAGTGAATCAGGCCAGTGTCTTCTAGATAGCCCCTACTTTCTATCGGGAAGGACTATGAACTTTTAATCAGGACAGAAAATAAAACAAAATGGCCCTTTCATTAAAGGTGCAAGCCTGACATGCAGGATTTTGTGCACCCATATGCATGCACGGCACAGCATTACAAATTTGAATACAAAATAGGACCATGTGGAATAGGGAAGGTACAGCACAGTGTACACTATGAAGCAAAGTGGAATAAGAAATTACAGCACAGCAAATAGAATGAGAGTGTGTGAAAATGGAAATATATAGCATAGAGCACAGAATGGGATGGTGTAGAATAGGGATATAGGGAATGTACAGCACAGTATATATAATAAGAAGGTGTAAAATAGGAAATATACATGTAGCACAGTGTACAGAATGAGGCAGTGTTAAACAAGGAATGTACAACATTCACATAAAAATTAATTTCGGAACAGGAAATGTACAGCAGAGCACACCGAATTAAAATGTTTTGGAATGGGCGAGGGGCGATGTACAGCAGCAAGTTAGAATCCTAATCAATGTTTTGATTTAAATGTGTGTCAGACAGGTTGGTGCACAAGTTATTTTATTTCATTTTGAAAATTGCAAAAAACTGGCTTGCTGCTCATGCTCACAGGCAAAGCTCAGCTGCAACCGCACCCTACATGCTGCTTGCAGGATTAGCTTAACTGAATGGAAACGTTGTGGTGGTTCAGGAAGAGACATCACTTAGTGAGCTTGGAAGGGCATTCAGGGAGCTTCTGTCCAAGGCTTAAAGACCAATTCTGGGAAAGTTTAAAATTATCACATACTGTATGTGGCTGCCTCTTCACTGCAAGGGATCATTTTAAGGATTCCTGGGATAGGGCTTTGAGGGTCACCCACAAATGCAGTATCTGAGGTCTATCCTTGCTTTCTCATCCATTTTTGAGTAGCCATGCTATGCTCTTTGGCAGGTATGCTGTACACTATGAAATTGGGCATTAAAAATGTTTCACTAGAAATTACTATGTTGAATACCTTAGCTTCCCAATGAAATTCTCCCCTCCTCGTGATAGATCTGTGGCATCAATAGAAATTAAGTAGTTGGAGGTCTTACTCTTCTTCCGTTTTCTTCCAGCTAATAAAAAAACCTGAAATACCATAAATAGCCAAACATGCAGAAGACATAAATAAATACAGAAAGTAGAAGACATAAATACAGAAAAAACAAACATGTTTATCTATGTAATGATGGAATGGGCTACACTTTCCACTAAAAATGTTCTTGTTTAGTCCTTATATGGCAAAATAAATTTTTTTTTTTAAGGAGAAGCCTTAAAATGTCTCATACCTTCTTATCATTATCAAGGTGTAGGTAGTATGTTGGGTACCATCCCCTGTCCATTCCTTTCTTATCTCTTGTTACTTTGCATTTGATGGTGACCCCCTGAGGTGCTGGCCGCAGTACAAATTCTTCCAGATTATCCACCTCAATGACTGGAGAGGGGGGACGTTCCTCCTTCTGAATAGACAGGAAGCATTCATTCATATTCAAGTACTCAGATTCAGATTATCAGGGGCTTGGGTATTGGTCTATAAAAGGACACTATGTTATTATTTCACATTACATTTTATATTAGAGTGTAAGTCAAGCTAAAACATTTTTCTTAGTTTTGGAGTCGAGAGGGGTTGGAACCCATGTCTTTTTTTACTGATATCCAATGTACCATTAGAGAGATTCCCTCTTTGTTCCTCTTATGCTGGAACAAGTTACCAGACAGGAAGTAAGGGGAACTCAGCAAAACACAAGAGAAAATAAGATTTTTTTTTTGTGTGTGGTTGCTGCAGATTTTTTTCTTCACTTTCTCTCTGGTAAAACCATTGTCAGCAGGACAAAAAAAAATGACGTAAATCTCTCTAATTGAGTCTCAGATAGCAGTAAAAGCCAGAATGGGTTCTAATCCTTCTGTACTCTGTTAAAACAAAAAAAAATTTTACTTGACATGTATGTCAATATGTTTAATATGACATATTAAAGCTGAACTCCAGGAGATCATTCAATGTGCCAGATTTCTGTATCACAAGTGAACCACCACTCCAAGCCAGTCCGCTTTCACTTGCCTCTATAGCCTCCCTGCTGGAGGTGCCTGCCTGGTTCGAAGTTGAAATACTAGTAGAGAAGAATGAATGACTGCATTCTACCATGCAAAGGGTCCAAAAACTTTCTTGTAGAAATCCATCAGAAAAACATGATCACAGCTCCACAAAGATAGACAGAGACATTAATGCGTTTCACGGTAAAGAGCTCTTAATCATAACGCTATAAATTTATCTTAGTGGTAACATTGTGATTAAGTGCTCTTTAACGCGAAACACGTTAATGTCTGTGCCTGTCTTTGTGGAGGTGTGATCATGTTTTTATGATGGATTTCTTCAATAAAGTTTTTGGACCCTTTGCATGGTAGAGTGCAACCATCCATCCTTCTCTGCTAGTATTTCAGCTGCCAGATTTCTGTAGATTAGGTTGAACAAGGTGCATATAAACTTGTGGACTTATTTCTTTAGTTTACAATTTACATTTTTACTGAATGGTGGGAGTACAATGATTTCTATACTTGTGGTGTTCCAACGCTGGATCTTCTGGTCTTAGATCCTGTGGCTGTAGAGTCACATGGAGGTCTGCCACTGCTTCCCTTCTACTGCTCAGTCACAGAACGTTTTGTATTATGTGAACACATTCACAAAATACAAAGCCTTTTGTGAATAGACAACAGAGGGGAGGGGTCGGCAATGCTGCTGTGTGTGAGAATGCAGCATGGTTCCTGTCAGAGTGCTGGAGGAATACTGATATCTGTACTCCCAGCACTCAGTAACACAATTTTTTTACTTTTTCCCTTCCTACCCAACCTCTCTCCCTGTCCTCCCTCTCACCTTTCATAACATTTACACTCATATTCATGTTATGAAAAGACCGGTCCCCGCTCCTCCCTGCTCCCCTGCTTGACAGCTAGCAGGGGATCTCCTCCCCCAGGTAGCTGTCAGAAATTTTTAAAAAATGCCAGGCCGCATCACTCAGCCTTAGGGGCTGTCAGCTTGTAGCTCTCAATGAACTACCACGGCGCTGTGCAGCACTGTGGTAATTCATTGATTCTTCCTGTCAGAGTGTATTGGCTTGCTCGTATGGACTATACAGGCAAGCAGATATACTGACAGATCTGCAGGAGACCTGCAGGAGACCTGCATGACACCAGCGATCTGATGATCATGCTGGTGCAATGCTTTACAGACTCCTGCAACAAAAAATAATAAATGCATATGTTTTTACCTGCAAAAAATGTACATTTATTATCTTATGCCAAAAGTTGAACTTAACCTTTAAGGACTATTGACTAAAGGCCGTGAAACACTAGCATCAAAAAGTCAGAAAGGGGATTGCTTAAGAGAACTGCAGTGGCTTTTGTTTTTCAACAAGGGAGTAGAGATGATGCAACAATTTTGCTAGTTGCGTCAGCAAAGGAGTGATGCTGTAAGGTGCAGATGAGAATTTAAAGCAAAGCACAGTCAAGGTGTTTTTTACATCCAGCTTTTAGTTTTGTCCCTTAATCCAGAAATTTTGAAGTAGTTAGTAAATGCACAATCAGAAACAAATTGATAATAGATGTAGCGGTAGATTAAGCTGAGTCATAAGGATCTCTCTTTTTTGATAGCATAAAATTCTTTGCTCTCTCTCTACAAACTCTGTATTGCTTTAATAGTCAAAATATCGTTTTGCATTGAAACCTAATAGCATGTTAACTACTTTCGTAGTAGTCCCTAATCTCTGTTACAATAGAGCTTTACTGTGATTGTGGTTTGCTGCCCTCTAGTACCATGATTGGACCATAGAGACTTTGCTTTGAGGAGCACTGTATGCATACTGTTTGCCATTTCGACCCTATTTGCATTATTAATCCTACTTAGCACCTATTTAGTAAACTTCAAGAGACAGTTACCGTCTGTTTGATCATTTGATTGATTTCCAATACTATTTCATACCTAGGACAGCAAGGCATGTAAATATGGACATGCTAGGTTTAGCTCTTAAACTGAAGCATGCCACTGACTAACCCAATTTCAGCAATGTAAAAATATAGTTTTTATAACTGTACCTTTTTTACTTTCTTTCCCTTCTTGCCCTTTTTATTGGTGTTCTTCACTTCTTCTTCCTCGTCACACTTTGAAGAGCCTGCTGTATCACAGTGACAAATAACTTATTAATAATATTTACTTCCCTAAACCTCTGCTGCATGCAGATTATAAACCTGTCTACTGCAAAGTAGATGTACATGTTGGGGTTCATTTATTAAAGCAGTAGAGGCTGTTCACTTAGCAAACTGTACATTAATAAATAAGATGAACATGTATTCATTAAAAACACCCAATCATGTGGGAGGAAAATTTAATAAAGAAATAATATTTTTGTCTTGCTGTGAAATTCTTTTCATGGAGTACATTATGGCACAAATAAAGAGTATTCGGGTATATTGGTTATGCTGCTGCCTTTAGGAGAGTAGATAATGACAAAACAAAGCTGTAGGGACAGCTAAGTATAACTAATGTTTGGTGGTTAGAACTGGAACAAGAAGTTTTCTCTAAGCTTTTTGCTGCATCCCTGATGGTGGATGACCTCACAGATGAAAAGTCCAGAATTGAAGGTAATTAAAGGGAAAAATTAAGTGCCATGAGTTCCAGAATATTGACTGGGGAATGAACATTCACGTTCAGTGTACCAAGAGGGTACCAAGGACTCCTCCCCAGCCTGATAGGCTAGCATCCATCGTGAGCACCTTCAAAGCCAAGATTTTCTAAATTCCACCAATAAACTTTTGACTCACCTGCACCCTCCTGCTGTCCCATACTACCAGAATTTTGAGTTGCAATGGTCTCTAGTGAAATCAGTTATATGGAAATGCCTCAAAGGAGTACACCTTTACACCCAAGAATGGAGGGTCAGATGGCGTTTTGACTGCAGCAACCAAAAATTAGAGCAGAGAGATTGGAGTTTATCTAAGGGAGACAAAACCTTGATCAAAGGCCTTGTCTAAGACCAGGCCCCGATTCTCCAAGTGATGAGGTGCTTCCAGTGCTGATTTCTGTTGATCTAGGATCCACCTGGATCTCTATAAGGACTGCATTGTTCATTGGACATTGGCTGAAAGACCCTTTGAAAACTGTTCCCTCAGAAGAAGGCTGGACAGATATCCAACTATAGGGATGTGACTTGGGGGGTCCAGAACTTACAGCAGAACTGAGTTCCAGCCTTTACCTTGAACCTAGAGGCCTGAGAGAAATAAAAGGAACTCTGTTTAGCCTCAAGTGCAAAAGTGGAAGTATAGTGAAATGCTAACTAAGCCTAAACCTCCTTTCACCCCCATTCTAAGCCTATTCTAACTACCGTGTAAAGGAAAGAAGTCTATACTTACCTATGCTGAGGTCACATTGATCTCTTTAGCATCCAGCTTCAGTGGAGTGATCACTCGCAAAAGCTGCAGAGCTTAAGCGATGACATCACCCATAGGGTTACTATGGAGCATTTGTTGTCTTTTGTTCCTTCAGTGTTCTCTCTCTCTCTCTCTCTCTCTCTCTCTCTTTATATATGTATATATAGATATTGATATATGTGCATTGATATTTAAAACATGACTGATCATGCCAAAAAATGCTTCTATTGAAGTATGATGATCATATGAAGCCATTTATTATGAAATAGTTGCTTGGCTCCTTTTTAAATCATAATGATAACAGAAATCACCCAAATGGCCATGATCAAAAGTTTACATGGAATGTCTGGCCTTGGTACAGACACACAAGGTGACATACACGGGTAAAAATGTCAATTAGAGGTTAATTATTATTATTATTATAATACAGTATATATAGCGCCAAAGGGTTTGCTCAGCTCTGTACAATAGCAAGGGGGACAGAACATGAGACAAGACAGTAACAATACAATACACGAGGGGTTCGAGGGCCCTGCTCTTTCGAGCTTACAATCTAGGAGATTGTAGCCACAGATGTCCCACATCTGTGGCTTTTTAAATTGCAATTAGTGTCAGTGTATAAATAGTCAATAAGTTTGTTAGCTCTCACGTGGAAGCACTGACTAGGCTAGATACTGAGCCATGGGGATCAGAACAGAACTGTCAAAAGTCCTGCGTAATAAGGTAATGGAACTTTATAAAGATGGAAAAGGACATAAAAAGATGTCCAAAGTCTTGAATATGCCAGTCATCACTTCCAGTAGAAAATTCAGGGACCTCTTGATACCAAGCACCTTAAGTCGAGTACCAAAAGACACAATACAGGCTGACCCTTCTTCTTCTCAGTGGAGTCCAGGTACAGCTTTTGTTGCAATGGTAAGGATCA